ATCCCCCCTCTTAGTTCATGTCCATGGGTCATACCTATAAGTTCTTGGGCTTCTCCATTTTCTATACTATTCTTAATGTCCCCCTGTCTATTTTATGCCTACCATTTATGTTTCTTATTCCCTGTAACTTCCCCCCTGCCACCCAATCTCCCCTTTCACCTTCCCCACTGATAACCCTCCATGTGATCTCCATTTCTATGATTCTGTTACTAGTTGTTTGCTTAGTTTTTGTTTTGGTTTTTTAGATTCAGTTATTGATAGTTGTGTTTGTTTTCATTTTAATAAATGTTCATAGTTTTGATCTTCTTTTCCTTAAATAAGTTCCTTGAGCATTTCATATAATAATGACTTGGTGAGGATGAACTTCTTTAGTTTTACCTTGTCTGGGAAGCACTTTATCTGCCTTTCCATCCTAAATGATAGCTTTACCAGACAAAGGAATCTAGGTAATAGGTCCTTGCCTTTCATCACATTGAATACTTCTTGCCAGTCCCTTCTTGCCTGAGAATGTTCTTTTGAGAAATCAGCTGATAGTCTCATGGGAACTCTGTTTTAGATAACTCCCTTCTTTTCTCTTGCTGCTTTTAAGATTCTTGCTTTATCTTTAATCTTTGACATTTTACTTATGTTGTGTCTTGGTGCAGCTCCAAATTGTTTGTAACTGTCTATGCTTCCTGGGCTTGTATGTCTATTTTCTTTGCCAAATTAGGGAAATTTTCTTTCATTATTTTTTCAAATAAATTTTCAATTTCTTGTTCTTCTCCTTCTGGTACCCCTATGATGCAGATGTTGGAATGTTTAAAGTTGTCCTGGAGGTTCCTAAGCCTCTCCTTTTTGTGAATTCCTGTTTCTTCATTCTGTTCCAGTCGAATGTTTATTTCTCCCTTCTGTTCCAAATCTTTGATTTGAGTCCTGCTTTCCTTCCCTTTGCTATAGGTTCCTTGTATATTTTTCTTTATTTTACTTTGAATAGCCTGCACTTCTTCCTCTATTTTGTTACCATACTCATTTCTGTGAGCATCCTGATTAGCAGTGTTTTGAACTCTGCATCTGATAGATTAGCTGTCTTCTCACTGCTTAGTTCTTTTTCTGGAGTTTTGATCTGTTAATTTATTTGGGCCATATTTATTTTTGTCTTGGTGCATTTGTTACATTGTAAGGGGCAGAGCCTTAGGTATTCACCAGGGTGGGGAAAGCCACTTCACTGCATTGTAGCACTGTATGTGGTGGAGAGGCCAGGGAGGAAACAATGCCACTTGCTTGGCTCTTGCCCCACTTCCCTCACTTCTCACAAGGGGATTTCTCTCAGGGGCTGATGCCTAGGTGGGTGGACTTGTGTACATTTTAGGATCCTTGGGCCCCTTGAATGGACTCTTCAGTGAGACTGGGAGTTTCTAACTCTGTTGCAACCCCCACAGGTTTTGAAGCCAGAGGTTTTGAGGCTTTAATTTCCTGTGCTGGAACCCTAGGTTGTGTGGTCTGTCTTGCTCCCCAGTTGTTCCTCCCAGCTTATCAGCACATGAATGTAGGACTGCCTGGTCTACCAGCTGCTGCCTTGCCACATGTCCTCACTTCCCTGGCTTCTTCTCTCTGCCCATCCTACCAGTCTGGATGAATATTGCTTTAATTTTTTAGTTGTTGGACTTCCATACAGTTTGATTTTCTAGCAGTTCTGGTTGTTTTTTGTTTTTAAATTGGTTGTTATCCTTCTTTTGGTTGTTTAAGGAAGTGAAGTGTATCTACCTAGGCCTCCATTTTGGTGGGAAATCCCCCCCTCTTTTAATTTTAATTTCTAGCCTTTTGCTCTCCAACCCACCTCTTACGTTTTCAGGTCATTCTCTATAGTCCAACAATCCTTCAACCTGATCAGAAATACCAAGCTACTCACCATACTGACTTTTCACAGTTACTCATCCCTCTCAGAGCCTTACTTATTACCTTATCTGAAATTATAATACCTCCTTTTTTTTCTGCTCCCAACTACTTTGCTTATCTCGCCCCATCATATTTGCTGGCCACACATCTTAGTCCTGTTTCATCCAAAACTGCCTACTGGGTGCCTGCACATAAGCGACTGGATATGTCTGGAGAGAAATGCACAACCATATTGACTATTCTTACTATAAATTCATGACCACTCACCCAGGCAGGGCCTTAGTAGTGCCTGGAAACCTGGCACTACTATTATGTTTCCCGAGTCAATTCCCTCTCTCATACTTATAGACTACTATTTCATCTCTCTCCCTTTTTCCTCCCTCCTCTCAAATTCCCCTCTCCTTATTTTCAGTTAATGACTGTTTTAGCTAGAGCTGGCTAAACTGCTATAGCAAACAGACCTCCAAATATTATGGCTCCAGCTCAATAGAAATTTATATCTTGCTTACAGAGTAATCCAGAGTGGGTGTTCCAGGTCAGTGGGAAGGTCTCCTTCATAAGACATGCTCTCTCTTGTAGCTTTCTCAGTCTCGGGGGTTTGTAGTCACCTGCATAATCCGGCTGGCAGAAAGGAAAAATGCATGAAAGCAACACACTGGCCTGGCAGTGGCAGACATCATTTCTATTCGCATTCCAGCAGCAACAGCTTAATACTTAACCATACCTAACTAAAAGGGAGAGTGGGGAAAAAAAAACTGTGTGCTGAGGAAGAAGGGAAGAATAAATTATGATGGATAATTAGCAAGCTGCCAAAATGATCGTGCTTCTTATTTCACCAAGAAAATAGAAGCAACTAGAAAAGGACTTCTACTTTGTCCTGCTACCAAGTCCACAAACCTACTTTAGTATGTCCTATAGATGTGGGCACTGGGGAAGGGGGATTAGATTCCTAGGCTGTCCTTGATAACTAAGGGGCAATTTCTCAGCTTTCAACTAAAACATGGTAAAAATGACCACACACCTAATCACAAAATTCAAACATCCCTTCTTTCCTTGTGCTTTTCAACCTCTGTGGTCTGGGATATTGTTGAACAACACTCCTTCCTGCCCTTGCCTTTGTGAACTGCCAATTTACCTTGCTTTAGAGGCTTTTGCATTACCTTGGTTCTCCTTCCATTTCTTCTACCATCTTGCTCTGGAGGCTTCTCTCATCTAAATTAGATCCCTTCTTTGTTGACTTCTCTCATCTAGGTTAGAGCTTCTCAAACTTTAATGTTGTGACAAATCACTTAGGGTTCTTGTTAAGATGGTGATTCAGCAAGTCTGGGGTGGGGAAGGCTGAGATTCCACCTTTGTAACAAATTCCCTGGTGGTGCCAGTCCCTCTGAGCTACTGACAACACTATGAATAGCAAGGGTCTAAAGAGGATGTTCTCCAAGATTCTTCCCTTTTCAGTGATGTCACTGAAAGAGAGATAAACCCCCCAATCTATTTTTTAGTTCAATCCTCTTTCCTGTATTTCAAAATCTTTATGTGTAACTTCATAGAGTCCACCTTTATCTGACTGTTTGGACATGCTTTTAAACCTTTAAAATGGCCAAATCTAAACTGATCCCTTAAAAAAATAGTTTCTACTCCAATTTATAATTGTCTCTTTTCTATTTTCTACAATATAATTATCTACAAACTCAAAACCTCTTTACTATCTTTTTCTCTTCCTCCTTCATGGTATCCCCTCTTGCTGTAAAGCCAAATAATCAACTACCAAATTCTATAGATTCTACTTCCACATCATCTTCAAACAATGCTCTTTTAAATTCCTCCTGCCCTACCTTTAGTTCAGACTCATCATTATTTTTTCACCTGGCCAGCTGCAGGTCTATCGGGCAGTTTATCATTCTTTAATTTCTGAAAACATTCATGAGTCAAAGAAAAGCTGTGCTTTTCTTCCCAAAAACTTTTAAACCACAAAAACTGAAAATACTGAATTAAATATAAATTTTTCCACTTGGCATTCCAGGCCCTATTCTCTTTTGTCTCTGCCAAAGTCCTAGAGTCTTACCATTTGCTTTTTCCCAAACACGACTTTGATTAAGTCACCTTCATATGTTCTTAAGGTATCCCTTCCTGCTGTAAAACCTTCCTCATCGCTCTCATGGTTGGTCCCAAAAGGCTTTCTCCATACTGCCTTTCTTTCCTGATCCCCAAGACAAACATATGAGCAGTCCTTTGACCTTGTGCAGTGCTCTGTATTTTTCACATGGCACCTATCATGGTTTGTCTTTTGTTATGAGTTTTATCTGTTTTATTCCTCCCTTTCTTAAAGAATAACATCTTCGACTCCCCTCTGCAGCATCTTACATGGAAAGGGTGTGTGTGTCTCCTATTAGTCAAACCAAAGTGACTTAGGGGATGAAATGGTAAGCAGCACATTAAAGTCAATACAGCTACATTCTGGCTCTGCCATTTATTATTAGTGTGAGGCTTGGGGTTAAGTCAATTAATTTGGCTTGTAAAATGAGAACACTATTTGATTGAGCACCAAGGGAGACAACGGAAAGTGCTGTGTTAACTCCACAGAGAAATGAGCAATGTTCGTTATCTTTCCTTACAGAGATACGATGCTGTCTTGCCATCCAAATCTTCATTTGCAGGACCATTTCTACTTCACCAATTAAAGATCGAGACTCGAGCGGCAGGGAACCCGGACCACTAAGTCCCACAGCTCTCTTCCACTTCAAGGCCCTCTAACTACTCTCCACGACGCAGGCGAAGCCTCCGAACCGCGGGGAAATGCCCTTAAGTCGCATACTCTTGGGAGGCCTCCTTCCTTCCAACACTCGGGGAAAGCCCTTCTCTTCCCGGTCACCCCAGGACCAAGGCGCCGCCGCCTACGTGAAACGTTTGGACCCTGCCAGGCCCCCGTAGCACCCCTTCTCCAGCAGGTGGTTCTGGTCCTCTCCCCAGACCCGGGGTGCTAGCGTCACCAGAGAACCTCTACCCACGCGCCGGTGCCGCAACCAACGGAGAAAATAAACAAACCCCCCTCTCAACGCAGGGCGCGCCAAGCCCCGCCCCTGCCCCGCCCCACGGCTCTCACGCCGCCCCCGCCGTTGGGACTTCCCTCCCGCCCTCGGCTGGCAGCGGCACACTCGCTGCCCCTCACAGCTGCGTGTAGCCTCGCTGCTCTCCGCGGACCGCGCAGCCGGCTGACCGGCTGCCCGGCCCGCCGCCTCAGGTCCCGTTAGTGCGCGGAGCCTGCTCGCGGGGCCGCTGCGAAAGCCTGCCCAGCGCAAGCCTGCCACCACCCCTTGACCCAGCCGAGTCCCAGCACCCGAGGCTGCCGCCCAGAGAGCTGCAGGAGTCTCCGAGGCGAGGGTGGAGGTAGAAGAGGGCCAAGCCTGCGACCAGGGAGGCCCGGTGAGTACGCCGTGCGCTGGCCCCGCTAGCGGGGGTCCCCTCTACCGTCCCTGAAGTGGTAGTGGCGGCTCGGCCGGCCGCGCTGCTCCGTGTGCTCCAGAGTCGGCGCTTGGGGATTCGGCCTGAGGTACTGGGCTCCGCCGGCGGGAGCCGGAGCCGTAGGGTAGAGGGCGCGGGAGGGCCGCTCGGGAAGAAGGGCCGCGGCCCCGGACGCCCCGCTCGGGGTTCGGAGGCTGCGGAGAGAGACCCCCGCCAACCCCAGGCCGCGGCTCCGGGCCGTGGCGGCGCCTCCCGAGATCCCGCCAGGGCCGGGGTCTACCTCAGTCGCCGAGCGGCGGAATGACAGGTGCCGCTGCCCACTCCGCGTCGCGGGCACTGCGCTCCCTTTCAGGGAGCCGGGCAGGCGCTCGGAAATTTCTGGAGCTGCGACATAACTCACTCTTTTTTCCCTTTCAGGTTTTGAAGCCTCATTTTTGCTTGAGTTAGGTCTCGTCAAACCCTATTTCTTTCTCTACGTACTTTGTGCGAATAAGTTTTGGAGCATCGGTTAACAGCCTGTGGGTGAGATTTGGCTTTCATTCATGCGTGAGGTATCTAGTGAACTACTTTTTCAGGAAAGTGCTCCTCCTCCTTTTCGCTAGCTATTGAAAAATAAGTGAGAAGTCTGTTTAATTATTTTATTTTTTTGCTGTTACTGTTCGCAACAAGCGGTCTGGTAGAATTTTGTGAGATCTCTAGAATTTAGGGTACATAGGCGATACCGAACAGCAGTGGCAGAATTATCCTATTAAATAGTCTTTCTGGCTTCCTTTCGAGTTTTTATTCTTCCATTGGAAGCACTAGTGAAAAAATTTCCCCTCCATTCATTATTGCCTATTTATGTAGGCAGTAGTAGGTTATGTGATTATAACCTGAATCAGCAGCTCAATAAATTTGACTTGTAGCTGTAAGAATACTAGAGAAACTTTATGGCAAATTGAGATAATAAAAATCTTCAATCTATGGAAATATGGGGTCTTTTTCCTCAACAGGTTTATAACACTATAGTTGATATAGTCAAATTCTAATCAATGGACGATGCACTTAATTATCGTAAAGGATTACCACAGGCTTGTCTGTAAGGTACTAAATAATGTTTTCACTCTGTGGACGAAAAGCAAAAACGTACAAGTTGACCAAAAGAACATTGGGGCAAATGAAAATACATGTACTTAATTGATGGGAGAATCCTTTAGGTCCTTACAATACCCGTTGGTACTTTTTGCTGAGATTTCCCAGCCCACAGAAAATAGGCCCTGCAGGTTTGGAAAGGGGAGGCAGTTATTTATGAAGAAAAAATGGAATTTAAAGCAAACTCATTAAGTTTATATGGCTTGTTTGCAGTACTTGGGAGCAAAGTCTTGGTATACATTTGGCACTTGTTGATTGTGAATCTTAAATTAAGATTTATAATTTATAATTTAGCTTCTTATAAATATAAGAACTTCACCATGTATTAAATCACTGATGTTTAATGCTATTTCATTTTATGCTTTAAAAAAATGTAAGTTATATTCCAGTGAGGCCACACTAATCGGACTAAGTCATCAATAGTGTTAATGGAAGATGGTTGTGATTTATTTTATCAAAAAGAAAAAAATACGGTTGTTCTTGGTTGAAGATTTTATACATACATCAGTTTTGAAGTGCCCTAATTGTGGTTCCCTGGATGGAGGTATGACCACGGCTATTGTCTGACTTGTCCCTGGAGAGGTCATAGTCTAGAGGCATGAAGTCATAGTGGCAGTGGTCCTCAGAACCTGGGCAGAGACAAGTATTACCAGCCCTTTTGAAATCCTGCAACCTGTAGTTTAGGCTATTCATTTTTAGAAATAGTTTGTTTTAAACACCTGATAGAGCCTAATTCTTTTTAGTCAACACTTTAAATCCTAAATGAATGTTTTCTTAAATGATTATGTTTTCCAAGCAAAATTAGTTGCAATAATCAGTTGGTAGAATGGCACTTACAATGAAACAACTTTGAAATGCCAATAATCTTGAAATCACATTTGTATTATGGGACTTGGGGATTATCTGTAGAGCACTTTGCATTTTCTTTTGTTGTCCATTTTACTTTAGAACACATCTTGCAATGCATGTATAGCTTTGTATTTGGGAAATGTAAGTATTAAAAAAGTTTAAATTTAACAAATTTATTTTTTGTATGCCCAGTCCTATGGTATTTGCTAGGGATTAAAAGAGAAGGTCCTTTCCTTTCAAGATGTTGAAATTAGGGTTTTTAGGGGGGCTAGCTTCAACAGTAAACATAATTTTAAATGAATTAATTCAATAATAAAAGTAAACAAAGTACAGAAATATTACAGAGGACAGGATGATTAATTTGAGGGTCAGGTCAGAGAAAGCCTCACAGAGAATCTAGCACCGGAGTAAATTTTGAGGAATAAATAAAAGTTTTAAAAAATATTTTACCTGGCTGGTGTAGCTCAGTGGATTGTCAGTTTGTGAACCAAAAGGTCACTGGTTCAATTCCTGGTCAGGACACGTGCCTGAGTTTCAGGCCAGGTCTCCAGTTGGGGGCACGGGAGAGGCAACCATTTGATGTTTCTCTCTTCTTTCTCCCTCCCTTCTTCCCTCTCTAAAAATAAAATTAAAATCTTAAAAAAAAAAAAGCCTTGGCTTTTGTGGTTCAGTGGACTGAGCACTGGCCTGTGAACAGTCGCAGGTTCAATTCCTAGTCGGGGCCCATGTCTAGGTTTTGGGCCAGGTCCTTAGCTGGGGGTGTGCAAGAGGCAACCACACATTGATGTCTCTCTCCCTCTCTTTCTCCCTCCCTTCCCCTCTCTCTAAAAAGAAATAAAATAAATAAAAAGCCCTAAAATATACTATAATTAATAAGTCAAATAAATGGTGTATTAAGTATATATAAAATAGAGACTACCCTATAAGTTAACATTGCTGCAGTGTCAAATATAGAGGAATTAATAGTTTTTACTAATGGTAGTATTAATAATTAAGAAGTTATTAAATATTATACATATTTGTTGAGCTACCTGCATATTTATAATTGTGAACTTGTTTCTGTTCATTTTTTGACCAGAATCATTTATTTTTCTATTATTTTATGAACTTTGTCTTCATTCCACTACTTAAGTTAGCTTTTAAATTATTTATAAAAGGAGGCTCTCAAAGGGAAGAGGGGAAACATAAGAAATAATCATCAGATTTCTGGAATAAGAATCTAATTTGTGTAGTATTTTAGTATTATGTAAATGTCTTTAATATATAGCAGTAACCACCATGTTTAGAGATTGAACAATGTAGGTAGTTTAGGGGAGGACAGCTATATTTAAATTTTTTGCATTGTATACCTAAAGTTTATATTTAAATGTATATAAATGTCAGAGATCTTAAAGACTGTGTGAGAGAAAAAGAAAGGGAATATAAAGTGAGAGGGAGAAGAGCTCTATTGAATCTATTTATCTTAATGTCTCTTAAATATGACTATGGATGGAGGTGCAAGAGTTTTAGGACAAGATTGAAGGAGTATTAACAATAGTCATGCCCTGAAGTATCTTTAAAAAGCTCGATGTTGTCATAGTCTGCCTGTTTATTTCTTATTCTCTTCAGTATTAAAAAAAAAGTGAATTCCTGGGTTGTATAACAAGGAGCATTTTTTTGCAAATTCTGAAATATTTGTTAATAAAGTTCTCAAAAAAAGTACAACATAAGTAGTCATTGACAGATGTTGTCACTTGTCTTCTACATCACTAACGTAAAGGACCAAAGGCATCTCATTGTCAATTCTGACCTGCAGTTGCCCTTTCTAAGTTTGGAACAGGGCAGAAAAATCCATAATACGGCATTGATTACATCATGTTTACCTTTTTAAATTTGGGTATAGATGACCCTTTTCCTCTTTCCAGATAAGATTTTTTTTCTATAGAAAAATAGGATGGTCATTATAGGATATTTGGGGAAATAATATAAACTATAGAAAGTAAAATAAGCATGATGAGTAGTCCTATGCTTTTTTTTTGTTAAGTATATAAATACACATTTACTGATTGAGGGTTATTTTTACATTTTTCATCCCTTTTAATTTAAAATTTATGTTTCTCCCTCTTCTATTTCTGAAGTAATGATTAGTTACCTTTTGACATGGTATGTAGATTTCTCTCATAGCTGATGATGTAGATAATGTGTTGGCTTTTTATCATGTGCAGCACGTAGCACAGATGATTTGTCCCGTCTTCTACGCCCTCAGCTGCTAAGTAGATCTATTCTTTAATATTTACTGTTATGTGAAGTACATTGCAAGTGGTTGCCACTATCCTGTTCTCCTTTTTTACATTCCTACTGCTGACCAAACAAGGGATCATTATAGGTGAGCACTTCCCCCTTTTCATTCCACCCTTTCCTAAGTTAAAAGAGTATATTTTAATACATGGGTTGCTGAGGTAGCTGCCTCCTCAGAAAAATTACTTTGTTTTGTCTTTTGAGTTTTTATCATTCTTTTCTTAGGGTAATAGTATTTGTTTTAATGATCTTTCTTTACTCTGTGTGTTTTATTATTTTTTTATTCATTCAGGAACATTTATTGTCTGTCCACTGTATGCCCACTGTGTAAGACATATTTCCTACCATGATTTTTGGGTTTCAGGTAGATTAGTGTTTTCCTTCAGTAGTATATTAAGTGTAATCTTTAGGTCTTTGACTCTTTTCAGTGGCTCACTGCTCAACACTTATTTCTCAGTGCCAAACAGCTTTTTTCTTTCATGTCAAAGATTAAAGCCTTAGCTTTTGGAATGGCTAGATGTTGATTTAAGTTTCAAAATATTTTTGCAGTGGAGTCAGACATGCTTAGCCACATTTTAAAATTGTTTGTACCAGTTCTTCTATGCCTCATAGGACCCTAAGACACATTTCAGTTAGTAATTATAGTAAGAATACTAGTAGATATTTATATATTTGAGTGCTTCTGCTGTATTGGCTCCTGTTCTATTAGTGTATGTAAAGTACATTAACTAATTTAACCTTAACACCTCAGTGGGCACTGTTATCCCAATTTCACACATGAGGAAGCACAGATTGAATAGGTCGTTCAGGGGCTCATAGCAAGCAGCAAGTTGGATTTGCCCAGGCACTCTTGCTCCAGATCAGCATTCTTGTCTAGTGCTTTTCTTCTCTTTGACTTAGCAGTACTAATGTAAAGGACCATAGGTATCCCATTGTCCCCAAACTGGGAGGAGAGCTACAGTGTCTGTATAGAACTGGGTAGGAAAAAATGTGTTACATTTTCTTTATAGCATATAATTAGGATAGGTAAAACAAAATATAATAGAAAAATACTAAATGTTGAATTTATGAGAATTTCAGTCTATGGCCATACCACTCTGAATGCGCCCGATCTTGTCTGAATTTATGAGAATTTCAGATTCTTTTCAGTGAGAAAATTGTGCTTGCATCCATGAACATAAATTTTTAAGTAAAATTTACCTATGAAATAAAAATACACAGTTTCTGATCCAGGCTTTTAAGTAATGCTTTCTTCACACCCCAATGTTCATAGCAGCACAATTTACAATAGCCAAGAGGTGGAAGCAACCTAGGTGCCCATCAGTAAATGAATGGATCAAAAAATTATGGTACATATACACAATGGAATTCTATGCAACAGAAAGAAAGAAGGAGCTCCTACCCTTTGCAACAGCATGGATGGAACTGGAAAGCATTATGCTGAGTGAAATAAGCCAGGTGTTGAAAGATAAATACTATATGATCTCACCTTTAACAGGAAGCTAAACAACAAAACAAACAAGCAAGCAAAATATAACCAAAGACACTGAAATAGAGAACAGGGGACAACGACCAGAGGGAAGAGGGGAGGGAATTTCAGGGGAAAAAGGGGAGGGATTTAGAGGAACTAGTATAAAGGACACATGGACAACAACTAAGGGGGGTGGAAATGGGAGGGAGGTGGGGAGCACAGGGGGTGGGCTGAGATGGGAGTAAAAGACAGAAAACTATACTTGAAAAATAAATAAAAAAAAAACTTTTAAATGCTTCAAATTGAGTTTCCATTGAAATGTTTGGATTAGTAGGTAATAACAAAACATTTTTATTCTATAACCATTTGATAATTTATAATGATTGAAATTACTTTTAAAGAACCTAAAATCTTCTCTGATCAAAATTTAATAATACAGAATTTCTTGTGATAAAATGAAAGTTCAAATTCAATTGAACTTTCCAACTTCTAGTGTTTAAAATAATGAAGCTCTAATTTGCAGAAAGCATATGCATATGCAGTCACCTTGCAGCTAGATCTTATGCCATTAAAAAGGTATATATTCCTGGCTGAGTGGCTTACTTAGTTGGAGTGGTCCTCCTGTACAACAAAGTGTTGTGGGTTCACTCCCCAGTCAGGGTACATACCTAGGTTGTGGGTTCGATCTCCAGTGGGGGTGTATATAGGAGGCAACTGATGGCTAACCTTAACCCTAACCTTCCTCCCCCAAATCAGTAAACATATTCTTGGGTGAGGTTTAAAAAAAAAAATAAAGCCATGTGAAAAAAAATGCAGGCCATTGCTCGGAACCTTGCTTACTTAAAGATTTTGTACATCCCCACTCCTGACAGAAATTGCTGCTCTCTATACTGCATACCTTGCATTTTGGGTACCTAGAATACAGACTCTTCTAACAGTTCCAGTAACCTATCTACTCTGATCAGCAACAGCGCATTCTGCAGCTGTCTGTAGATTTTCGGAGGCTTGAGCACTTCTCTTGTCACAGTTGACAAATAACTACAGAGTAGCATATGTACAGAGTTGTCCCCTAGGGAGCATCAGATAAGGCTGCTTGTGTCTGGCAGTGACTGGCCCAGAGTATCTGCATTCTCCAGGGTTTACTTGGCTCCTTGCGGGATAAAGAAACCAGTATATCTGAGGACATACTGGTAAGGTAGCTCTGCCCTATGCCATAGAAAGAAAATTTTTGTGAGCTTTGGAGAGAGATTTTAGGAAAGATATCTGTGATCATTTAACTCATGCAGAACAATCCAAATATGAAATTCATGACTTTGATATGTCTTCGAATGGAAAAGAAATATATTTGTATAAGGTATCAGTCTTGGTGAGGCCAGATTATACTGCAATAACAACCTGAAAATCTCAGATGCTTAAAGAGGTAAAGTTGCTTTCTTGATCAAGCCACATATGGAGTGGGGCAAAAGTAGGTTTACAGTTGTATGTATAGAAAAATAATTCAGTGATTAATTAATAACACAAGAATAAACTCTGTTTCTTATACTCACAACTATAAACCTACTTTTGCCCCACCCTGCATCCAGGTTAGTATGGAGACTTTGTTCATTGTGGTTTCAGATTCCATCAGTTATGATTGATGGAGACTATCTCATCATATGCTTCCACAATCATAGAAGCAGGAGAGAACATGGTGGGCCATGTTCTGGCTTTTAAAGTTTATGTTTCACTGGCTAAAATCAGTCACATGGTCATGTCTGCATTCATCAGGAAAATGATAGTTTGTGAACAGCTACCAAATGCAATTTATAGTCCCAACAATTGAAATTAAATATAATAATCTTTGTTGAACAACTTTGTTGGATTATTTTACTTGAAGTGTTCAAAGCCACTAAACCTTAACAGAATTTTAGTAGAATTAATGTATTCTGTAATATTTTTTAGTCTGAAATTCATTTCATTTTGTAATATTTTTTTCCTAGTAATTTAAAAAATCTCAGTTCTCATGCTTGCAAGGAAGTTAAGCCTAAAAAATATATAATTGTAATATATAGTTGTAATTTATCAGTATGATATGATCTCTGTATGTTGGGATATCTCAATTTACATTATTTCTGAGCACAGGAGGAATAGGTCTTAAAGATGGTATTACAATAAAAATACTTTGATTTAATAACTACTAGATGATGTCTTAAAATATCAACTCTTGTTTTGATTTGCTGGATTCTTAGGTTAAGATGGAAGATTAAACACATGCTTCTCATTTTTGCTCCCTCCTGAAAACATACAAACTAATAGTTGCTTTTAGCTTTCAAAATGGGCATTAATTATTCCCACCTCTTAGTATTCACAGTTTTGCATAGTTTCCTCCCACACTGAATTAGGGTGTACTCATGTAAACAATAGGATATTGTGGAAATGATAGTAACTTGTTAAGATACGAGCACTGTGACTTAAGACAAATACAATAAAACTTTGAAGAAAAAGTAATAATAAAAAAGTCAGGATAATAGTTATCTCTGGATGGGAGAGTAGGGGATTCTGTTGGGGAGAGGCACAGGGTGCATTAATGTTCTGTTAATCTTAGTGTTGGGTACTTGGAGTGTTCAGTTATTATTTAAAAAAACACAGTATTTTATTCAGTTGTATACCCTATACATTTCAAAATAAAATGAATAAATGTCTGAGTTTCACAATTTCTTTTAAAAAATGTTTTCATATTAATTGAAAGAGAACCTAGTCTTTCTAAGTAGTTACAAAGCTGATTTCTTTGAATTTGCAGTCAGGTTTAGCATGTGTAGGTTCAGGTCTTGACTTTCCCAGCAAGTCACTTAACCATTCTAAGCATGAGGGGCCTCATCTCTAAAACTATAGAATTGGGTTAGAAATTACTAGAGGACTTTTAATATTCTAAGTCTAAAAGGTTCTTGAAAAGCTGAAAAACCAGTAAATGAAACCACTCCCACATACTTATTCTGGAAATGGTAGGAGGCACTGAGGCTAGTGACCTAACATAATGTGGAAGGTGATTTTGAAAACTTTTCTTTGAGGGAATTTAAGTTCTCTATTTTTCTCTCAGTTCTGTGACTTAGTAGGAATCTCTAGGATCAAACTTAAGGCAGCATTTTGTATATAGACCATTCTTTCTCTACTCCTTTTCCCCCCTGTTTTGGAGGTTGAGGATAAACACGTATTTTTCTATTTTAAACCCTTTTGATTTAGGAATGTGTGTGTGTGTGTGTGTGTGTATACAAGGATATAAAAAACCAAAAACTTATTTTCTGTTACACAATTTTATGTTGTCTTAAGTTAAAAAGTATGTTATTGCCCATAGGACTATGGGTTTGAATCCAAATATTATTAAATCCTATGTCCAGAGAAATATATGTATATAATGATAATGTTTACTCACCTGCCTCCTCTTCTCCCTCCACAGGAATTATTCTTGACAGAAATATTTTAGAAGAAAAATATTTACAATGGCCTCAGCAGTTCTTAGTTCTGTTCCCACTACTGCTTCTCGCTTTGCCCTGTTGCAAGTGGATAGTGGCAGTGGCTCTGATTCTGAGCCTGGAAAAGGCAAAGGTCGGAATACTGGAAAGTCTCAAACAAGCAAATCAACTACAAATGAGAAAAAGAGAGAGAAAAGAAGAAAAAAGAAGGAGCAGCAGCAGAGTGAAGCAAATGAGGTAACAATTATAATTATTTGTGTCTGCTTTCCCAATAGACTAAGCATCATGAGGACAGGTACTATCTTGTTTACTCATGTATCAATAGTACTTGGTCCATAGGTGCTTCGTAAATATGACTTGAATGAATGGATGAAAATTTGTATGTATTTAATTTTTTAAAAGATTTATTTATTTTTGAGAGGGGGAGGGAGGGAGGGAGAGACTTAAGGAGAGAAACACTAATGTGTGATTGTGTCTAGTGTACCCCCGCACTGAGGACCTGGCCTGCAACCCAGGCTTGCACCCTACACTGGGAATCGACCTAGTGACCCCTTGGTTTGCAGGCTGGCACTCAATCCACGGAGCCACACCAGCCAGGGCAATTTGTGTTTATCTAAATTTAATGTAATGAACATTTTTTAAATGACTCTATTTTTTTTCTGACCGTGGAAACTTATGTATTCTTTGCTAAAGCTAAAGAAGTCTTAAAAGGAAACAAAGGCCATTTGTAAATATAACTAGAGATATAACTAATTAATATTTTGGTATGTCTTATATATATGTATAAATTTATATGAATATATAGATATATAAATACACATATATCTGTATTCATATTTTACCTGACCAAAAAATGGGATTCTATGATAGACTTTTATACTGGCTTTTTTCCCCTAATTATCCATGGGCAGTTTTCTATATTAGTAAATGAAGAGCTACATTATTTTAAATGATTCCACATTATTTAATTACATGGCTGTATCATATTTTAATTGAACCTTTGTGATAAACATTTAGGTGGTTTCTTTTCTTTTTTTTTTTTACTATCACAGGCAATAATCCTATGATTAGCCTAAGCATACCTTTTTATGCATTTGATGATCATCTCTTTCATTTTATTTTTATTTTTCCTTTCCTATCCTATTGTGTCCTATTGTATCCTATCCTATCCTATCTTATTTTTTATTGTATTTTTCCATTACCATTTATCCCCCTTATACTCCTTCCTCCCTCAATCACCACACCGTTGTTCAGGTCCCTGAGTCTTTTTTTCTTTTTTGCTTAATCCCTCCCACCCCCTAACTGCCCCCTAGATCTATTAGCCTGCTCTCTATCTATGAGTCTGTCTATTTTGTTTGTTAGTTCAGTTTGTTCATTAAAGTCCACAAAGAAGTGAAATCAATCTGTCTTACTCTGACTGGCTCATTTCACTTAGCATAATGTTCTTCAGGTCAATCATGTTATTGCAAAGGATAAACTTTTCTTCTTTTTTATTACATTGTGTACATATACTGTCATTGTTTTATCCACTCATCTGTTGATGGACACTTGGGCTGCCTCCAGATAGTCATCTCTTTTTTTAGGGTAGTAAGTGTATGGCAGGCTCCTTTCTCCTAGATATTCTTAGCCTGAGATATATGGCCAGCACTTAATGTACCCATTTGTTTTTAAAAGAAATGCTGAAAAACAGTTGTGTTTTTCTTTTAGTACAAGGAGCAGTTGGGTATATAGGGACCTTTTTCAATATCACTTAATGAGACAAATAGGAAAAGTGGTTTCTTTTCTATATTCATTTTATAAGGGCCAAAACATAGGAAAAAGCCTAAGTTTTTTATTACATTTTCATTACCATTGCTTTCTAAATATTTTTAAATGCTTCCCAGAGAATAACTTTAAAAGATATTTTCCACACCATAAATTCTTTCAAAAGTCCAGTCTTTCAGAACTTTTGATTGCCCACCACTTTCTTTTTGGAATTAATGGTGATATGGAGGAACAGAAAATAAGGTAATTTACATTAGAGAAAATAATAGAATTTACATTAGAGAACAAGAAATCATGTATCTGAGAAGGAGCCTCGTGATCCCTTTGCACTTCACTTCGATGGCTGTAGTTCTATCAGTCTTTACTTTCTGTAAAGCAAGTCTACTTGTTAGTGCTTCATCTCCAGTGGCATCTCTTCTTGTTATGTCCTTCCCACAACAAAACCCAGCTATTTAAAGGGGTGTTTGTAGCTCATGACTGCCTTTTGCAGAACTATATATTGATTATTAATTGAAAATTTTGATCCTTGATTTAAAGCCTCTTTATTAGTTTTCCAAGGCTGTCATAACAAAGTACCACAAACAAGGTGGCTTAGAACAATAGGAATTTATTCTCTAACAGTTCTAGAGCAGGGGTGTTAAACTCATTTTCACTGGGGTCCACATCAGCCTTGTGGTTGCCTTCAAAGGGCTGAATGTAGAGTTCTTTGCCCCTAGCTAAGGAGTAGTTGCATTTATACAGTCCTAAAATTACGTTCAGCCCTTTGAAAGCAACTGTGATGCTGATGTGGCCCCCAGTAAAAATGAGTCTGACACCCTTATCTAGAGTCTGGAAGTCCAAACCAAGGTGTCAACAGGAGCTTTGTTCTCTCTGAGACTCAAAAGTGGAAATCTTCCTTGCCTCTTCCTAGCTTCTTGTGGTAGCCCTCAGTCCTTGACTTGCAAGCTGCATCATTCCAATCTTTGCCTCTGTTAGTTGTTTGGCATTCTCTTTGTGTATCTTTCTCATCACCTCTTCTTAATAAGGATGCCAGTCACATTGGATTAGGGCCTACCTTAATTCATTATCACCTCATCTTGATTACACCTCATCTTGATCTGCAAAGACCCTGTTTCCAAATAAGGTCATATTCACAGACACTGAGGGTTAGGGCTGTAACATATCTTTTGGGGAAATACAATGAAATCTATAACAATCTCTCAATATATTTCTTTCTTGTTTCAGTTTTTGCATCTCAGATAAATCTTATTGTTGGGAAGTGGCTTGGCCAGTACAGTTTTAGTTTATTGTATTACTTTGAGACTAACCCCTATATTTTTCAGAGCTAGCAAAGTAGTTGTTAGAATTATATGATATATTTTCGCACTATTTAAACTTTTAAATTTGTAAGCTATTAAACTTTAATCTTTTTGAATCCTATTATTTTGCATTTTAAAAACACACATTCAAAAGCACACAGTACTCCTGTAAACTTATTCCCCTTACTAAAATAGAATCACTAAAGTAATGATATAATAGGGTGTAATACATTTTCACCAACTAATCATTTCATCTAGAAATCCAGCATCATCTCAAATGCTGGCAAAATTAATATTCCACAAAGATTATGACAAACACAAATAGCATTGGGAGTAGTATTTAGAAGTGTAAAAATATTGTTGATTTCTTAACTCCTGAAAAAATAATTTGTACTCAGGACTGGTAAACTGAATTTAAAATATTCTTTGTTTTTTCATAGCTCAGGAATCTTGCTTTTAAGAAGATTCCTCAGAAATCTTCCCATGTCACTTGTAATGTTCAACATGAACTTTCTTTACCAAACCCGGTAAAGAAGGATTCACGAGAAGAAAATTGGCAAGAGTGGAGACAAAGAGATGAACAGGTGCAACTTATTAAATCAAATTATTTTGCTTGATTTTTCATTGAATGTATGTGTTTTAAAGTTGGCATTGCATCTGAGTGTGTGACACCACTGTTCTGAGGAGTGGATTAGTTCATATGTGTTTGCTGCTTTTAATAAGAGATTCTATTTTTTGGGAACTATGAAAACAGAGTGATTACATTTATTCTTGGTAGTTTTGATAATTCAGAACAGTTATTTTGAGTCTTTAATTCATCTGCCTTTTTACAGCTGATGGAGAGACAGGGAAGGTAGAACAACAGGATTAAATTATTCAAGTAAAAAATTACATTTGTAGGGCCTGAGGTCTCTTATTAAAAATACTGAGTGACAGTTTTGCCTAAAAAAAGGAAGATGTGGAGGGGAAACTTTTCCTTTTTAGCCTTGATGTAAAATGGTTTATGTGGCATTTGTTTATTTGTTCTTAACCTATTTATGTGAGATTTTATTCTTCTGTGCCTCTATTAAATATCATTAATAACCAAATCAAATAATTTATTAAGACCAATTTCTTCTTTATTTATGTTTGGTGTCCAAGAAAATAACATACTGGGCTGAAATGTACTTTGGGAGCTGTTGTATGTGTTATTTATGAACAGTTATTCATTCATTTGATCTATTGGAAATAGGTATTGATAAAGATATGCTACAGGCAATAGAAATTGACTTTGGATATCCCCTATTTGTTGCTTTAATAAAAACCAAGGGTATAGAGAATTTTGTAGAAGTTAGGGGAGATAGTAATGTTCTATAACTAGGTAAAATAATAGACTGAGATGAAAAAGAAGCTGAGAGAAATTGAAAGGGAGATGGGTAAAATAAAAAATCTGGGAAGTAAAATCAGAGTTAAAAATTTCATTAGAAGGACTAAAAAAAGGGTATACACTGAAGACATTTGAGTCAGTTGTATGAAGGAAAATTTGAGATAAATTTTGCCAATAAAATTGACATGATAGATTGGAACATAGAACTGAAATCCAACAGAGGCATAATTAGTGTTTGTGAAACAAGCAGAACAGAGGGAGTCATTAAAGATAATGTTGATAAAATTCTCTTCTAAGCTAAACATGAATCTGGGTTTGAAAGAACTGAAGCCTTTAAAAAAACCAAAACAAACTGAAGTCTTTTAAAAAAGTTTTTAATTTGAAGAAAGAGAAAACAAGAAAATAGCATTATAAACATATGCATGAGACAAAACAGGTTGCCTGCTAAGGATGAAGATTCAGACTGGCTACTTCATTTATTTATTTATTTATTTATTTATTTACAGTGTTATTTTTTTAAGATATTTTATTGATTATGTCATTACAGTTGTCCCATTTCCCCCCTTCATTCCCCTCCACCCTGTATACCCCTTCCCCCATCCCCCCTTAGTTCATGTCCATGTGTCAAAAGTTCTTTAGCTTCTACATTTCCCATACTATTCTTGCCCTCCCCCTGTCTATTTTCTCTGCACTGTCTATGCTACTTATTCTCTGTACCTTCTCCCTACTTCTCCTCCTCCCACACCCCTGTTGCTAACCCTCCATGTGATCTCCATTTCTATGTTTCCGCTCCTGATCTAGCTGTCTTCTTAGTTTGCTTTTGTTTTAGGTGTGGTTGTTAGTAACTGTGAGTTTGCTGTCATTTCACTGTTCATCTTTTTTATCTTCTTTTTCTTAGATAAGTCCCTTTAACATTTCATAGAATAAGGGTTTCATGATGATGAACTCCTTGAAGTTGACCTTATCTGAGAAGCACTTTATGTGCCCTTCCATTCTAAATGAAAGCTTTGCTGGATGGAGCAATCTTGGATGTAGGTCTTTGGATTTCATGAGTTGAAATAGTTCTTTCCAGCTCCTTCTTGCCTGTAAGGTCTCTTTTGAGAAATCCGCTGACGGTCTGATGGGCACTCCTTTGTAGGTGACTGTCTCCTCATGTCTTGCTGCTTCTAGGATTCTCTCCTTCATTTTAATCTTGGCTAATGTAATTATGATGTGCCTTGGTATGTTTTTCCTTGGGTCCAACTTCTTTGGGACTCTCTGAGCTTCCTGGACTTCTTGGAAGTCTATTTCCTTTTCCAGATTGAGGAAGTTCTCCTTTATTATTTGTTCAAATAACTTTTCCACTTGTTGCTCTTCCTCTTTCCCTCCTGATACCCCCGTAATACAGATGTTGGAAAATTTAAAGATGGCCTGGGAGTTCCTAAGCCTCTCCTCATTTTTTTGAATTCTTGTTTCTTCATTCTTTTCTGTTTGGATGTTTCTTTCTTCCTTCTGGTCCACTCCATTGATTTGAGTCTTGGTTTCCTTTCCATCACTATTGGTTCCCTGTGCATTTTGCTTCATTTCACTTAGTATACAGGCTGGCTACTTTAAATGTCAGAATTGAAATGATAGGACCAAAAATTCATTATCTCACTAACATGTCATTTGTGTGATGGCTAAAGAAATACATTCTCACACATGCAAGGGCTGACAAAGCATACCACCTCTATCTTTTATGTAATTTTTTCTGTGCTTCTGCCAATTAAAAGGCAAATTTAAGTAAAGAGCACAGTAGTGGTTGGAAAGCACCAGTAGTGAATATTGTAGCTAGTTCAATATAGAATTAACTCTAAATAGTGATTGTAAAGTGGTTATTAAAGAGAATAAACCTTTACATCTGAAACTAATATAATTAATGTAATATTATATACTAACCATACTTAAATTTAAAAAATTTAAAAATGAAGCAGGACTTCATGAAAGAAATATTTTTCTCATAAAATTGCTTTAACTCTTTAAATACCTTTGCTCAGGAAAAATGGAACAGTTTGTTGGAAATTTTAGAGGATGCCTTGGTTTCAATAATCAGGAAATAATGAGAAAATGAGGGAACGCTACAGATTGATCTTTTGTCCTGAGTTTACTCAAAGGGGCTACCACAGTCATGAAAAATGGATCATTGAGATTGGGATACTTGAGTGTTTATATACGCAGTCTGGGGCAAAAGTAGGGTTACAGTTGTAACTACATGAAACACAGTTTATTATTCATACAAAAAAACTGTAAAACTACTTTTGCTCACCCTGTTTATATGCAGAACCTCTCATGGGATGAAGTCACTTCAGAGATAGGAGCAATTAATGTCTTGGTTTACACCAATGAATTAATGAATTAATTAATTAATGAACATAGCTCACTTGAATAATTTGTCTAAAATGAAGTGCCTATTTATGAATACAAAAATTAGGAAGGAATAGGGCAGGGGAGGCAATAGTATGTTTAAATTTTTATATCAGTAACAAAATATGGTTATGGTTAGTTCCAAGTGTGCTTTTTAAATTTACAGAGAACTACTTACATATATAAGACTTTTCATTCACTTGAATTTTAAATCACTTCAAGAAAAAAAAAACATAGCACATACAGCAAAATGTATAAAGCAAAGACAATGGCAAAAACACCTTTGAAATAAGGATAAAAAAGGATAACAGACACTTTGTTTATAATAAATATAAATAATGTAGTTACTCATTAAAAGATGAAGACCAATTGGGACAAACTGTCTGAACCGCATTTTGATCTTAATTCTAATATTTTCCTTAACATTAAAAATTGTAATATATTTCCCCTAAAAGGATAGGTTCAGGCTATTCGAGATAGTCTGTATTTTGCTGAGTTATGTGACTAAAGCTGCTGGAAATTATAGAGGTGATCTTTATTCTATTATTTGTATCATAAAGGAATATTTTCTTTAAATAACATTTTCCATCCATAAACTTACATTTATTTCATCATACTTCAGTGTGGAAAGATAATTTTATATTCCCTTCTGCAGAGATGTATACATCAAAAGGAAGTATATGTTTCGTACTTGAAATAGGTGAATTTATATGACATGAGATATATAAATTATGTGAATTGTATCTCAGGAAAAATTAATATTTAAAAAAGATGAATAGGCCATAACTTTGATTTGACTGTATTCATAATTCTGCTGTTTCTTTTAATATTGAGTCAAGGTCAAGGTACATATTATTCACTAACACCTGTTGCCTAGAAATAAATCTCTGCATAGATGTTGTCCAGGCATAACCTTTTTTATTCATGACACATTGATATTAATGATGCCAATATTCTTAAGTCTATTGGGGTGTCTGTGGCCCATGGGGGTTATGAATATGGCCCAACACAAAATCATAAATTTACTTAAAACATTATGAGATATTCTTGTGATTATGTGTTGCAGTGTATTTAATGTGTGCCCCAAGATAACTCTTCTTCTTCCAGTATGGCCCAGAGACTTCAAAAGGACACCCCTGGTGCATCATGGCTCACAAATAATTACCGTATTTTGCCATGTATAATGTGTATCAACATTTTGGGAAAATAACTTAGGTTATTTCCTGTTTTAATTTTTTATTTCAATTATTTGTTTATTTATATTTAGAAACACAACTGATTATCGTATTCCAGGGTGTTATTTTGCATATAGATATCATTGCTTTCTTGAGTAACACTTTAACACATAAATAAATAAGCATAAATAAAAGAATTAAAAACATTTATATAGATACAGATTAGTACTACCCATATATAATGCCCATCCTTATTTTTCCCTCAAAAATTTGAGCAAAACAGCGTGTATTATACATGACAAAATATGGTAACTTAATAGGAATATCTCTTTGGATTTTCAGTGATAAACAGATCAAATTTTTTGCATATTTCTTCCTCTTATTCTGTTGATTCAAAATGTACACATCACTGGTTTTGTCCTGCTGTAAAGTAATCTGTTAGCATGTGTACAATAGTAATTGTTCTTTCACATTACATTTTCCAGTCCATGTGATAAAGGCATTTTGCCACTAGCTTGTTCTGTTTTATGTTTGTGAGTGTGATATTTGTCATTAAGTCTCTTGGTATAATGAATTCTTTGGCAATAGTTTGACTCGTGCTTGGTTTCCACGGAGTGCAAATTCAGATAAATCCTCTGTGCTTTGTGACTTTCATTTTTGT